GGGGTTTGTGAGGGTCCCCATAGGTCACTGTGAATCATGGCAAATGGTTTGAAAGGTTTGTATGTGGATATTGGGAACAAGGAACGTTGATGTTTTGCAAGTTCACAAATTTCACAATGAAGGTCAACATGAGTGTTGTTCGAAAAGATAGAGGGAAATACACGTTTCAGATATTGAAAATTGGGGTGACCCATTCTATAATGCCATAAAAATATTTCACTTATCTTATGGACAAAAGCAGAATCACAACTAGCAAATTGACGTAGTTTACTCGCATCAACCTCTTCAAAGTAAACCTCTTCAAAGTAGTAGAGTCCCTCACACTCCTTAGCATTGCCAATCGTCTTGCCCGATGATAGATCCTGAAAAACACAGCGAGAAGGGAAAAAATTAGCAGAATAATTTGATTTTTTCGTCAATTGACTAATGGACAATAAATTGCAAGACAACTTTGGGACATGGAGAACGAATTCAATTGTTATTAAATTAGATATTCGAATACTTCCTTTTCCTGCAATAGGTGAGAGTGAGCCATCTGCAATTTTTACTTTGAGGTTGCCAGCACATGGCGAATATGTGGTAAATAGGTGGTAGTCGTCTGTCATGTGATCGGACACACCAGAGTCAATGATCCAGGGAACTTTGGATTGTGCGGTAGTGTTTAGGGCCTTTAGAAAGCTACGTTTATGCGTCAAGGAACTTGATGGGCTAAGATTTAATACATGGGTTGACCCATTGGGCCCATTTATTGGATTAAGGGCCATTCCATCCGGCCTAAATTCACTAGCTGGCATAGACTCGTTAGGTCTAAAATCATCTACTAAACAAGCCAAGACACCAGACAGCCCAATTGACTTATTAGGCCCAATTCCATTAGCTCCAGATAGCCCGACTGATTTATTAGGCCCAAAGCAGGCCAGGACATTGACTCCAGGCAGCCCAGTTCCTTTCTTCTTCGTGGCGTCGTTCCTCTGTTCTTCTTGGTCGATCTCCTGTGGAAATTGCACTTGACCCATGGTTGGGTATGGTGCGCCAGAAGGAGAGGACTTCATCCCATGTGGTCCGCGACCGTGGGTTGACTGGACGGCGCCGGATTTTGAAACGCTCGGACCTCGCTGCGGGATTGATATAGAGTCATGGGTTGTTGTTTGGAATGAATTGAAGACGTTGTTGGGGTCGCCTGAGGTTGAGCAATCGACCGGTGGGATGTTCCGATCACTGTGGTGGTCGGTGGTGATGATTCCGGCAGTTTTACCACTTTTAGGCGACTCGTTTTCTGAATTGATTCCGGCCAAAAGGTAGGCTTTTCCAACTGAGGCTTTTTTCATCGTAACTTTGCCAATTTTTTCTGTTTCTGTCATCGATGGCCGAGTTTAGAATCACTTCGGCTCTGATACCATGTTGATTTTAATGAAATAAAATAACAGAACACAATACTCCCGTGAAGCTCCCTGTCCCTCCCAAGTTTATTTCAAAAACATATATGTTGTTACAATACAACGGAATCCAATTTATAATAATTCCTAATCTAAGAAAAGGAAAAGTTTCCTAATCTAAATAAGGTGAGCAATCAATAACGATAATATCATATAATACACGGGATTTCTACAGACACCCTGAAATCGGTATCCCTAAAAGCCTTTATTGCTTTCATATAAATCTCATTTGACACCTCTTCCATATTGTTTAAGGATCCGGACTATTAATTTTACTATCCGATTGATTACATGCTTTTCCTTGGATCTTTGCAAGCTTTTCTTTTAGGTAAAGTGTTATAAGTTCATTTTATTCCTTCTTGATACTAACTGTA